AGGTTAAGCAGACTGTACTCACACATTATTGCATAGGTCTATTCTAACCTGTCTGGGTAGACTTGAAGTATAAATATCTACCTTCTTTCACCTAACTTGGAACTCAGTCTGCAAGAAAAACATTTGGTATGGCTTGAAACAAGGTGAAGTAGGTAAACAACCCACAGATACCTGGGGCAGAAGACTGCAGTTGAGACATAATCAATAGCCTAAGGCCATGGAGGAAAAATCAAAGGGAGAAACTTCAGTTTGGAAACTGGAGCATTCAAAAGCATTCATGTATCCCAGGGACTTTAAAAAGCCAAGGATAGGCCCAGTCCACATTGCATTCTCAGAAAAGATCAAAGACTTTAAACTTTCACCTAAGGCTCTAGGCTCAGTAACAGTCTAGCCAAGTGTTGAAAGGGTCTGAGCAGAGATCCAATATACAAAGACTGGGAGAAATGGTCTTTTCAGTTTTTGTTCTTGAGAGAAATGTTTGTCAGAACAATAGCTGAACACAGCTATTGGACAGAAAATTTAGTGACTGCACATAAGTAATAGTCTCTGTAAAAAAAAAAAGGAACTTTGGGGAAAGTCATTAGAAAAAGGGACAACCACAGCAATCAGCAACAAAGAGCCTCAGGAAAGCTAGAGAGGAAGAATAGTCTGGATATTCAGTTAAGATATTATAATATTCCAATATCTAGTTTTTAACAAGAACTCAAAGGTATGGAAAGAAGTAGAAAAGAGCAGTCCATGAAATGAACAAATTGAATCAACATAAATATTCACTGTAGAAGACACTACTAGACTTTGTAACACAAACACTTTAAAACAAGTGCTATAAATACGTGTTTAAAAGGTGAAAAAGTAAAAATAAATATTCAAATAGCTAAAGAAAAGCACAAATAAAGATCCAACATAAACCAGAAAATTAAGTTTGAACACAAAAAGAATATCACAGAAAAAATCATGGAAAGAATGTAAATAGAAAGTTTAGGAAATGGGGGCTGGGAAGTTGGCTCAGTGGTAGAGTGCTTGCCTTGCATGCTCGAGGCCCTGGGTTCGATTCCTCAGCACCACATAAGCAAAAAGAAAAAAGCCGGAAGTGGCGCTTTGGCTCAAGTGGTAGAGGGCTAGCCTTGAGCTGAAGAGCTGAGGGACAGCGCCCAGGCCCAGAGTTCAGGCCCCACGACCGGACCCAAAAAAGAAAGTTTAGGAAATGGAAAGACAAAAAAATCATATTAAGGGAAGTAAACCAGACCCAAAGAAACAAAGGCTCCATGGTTTTCGTCATTTGTAATAATTAGTATATGTCTAAGATAGCTGTTGTGATCCTCTTGTCTTTTCATAAAAAAGGAAAATATTTTGCAGACTTCTTAAAGAACTGTAAGTTAGAACCAACACTGACAAATGTCAGCACGTAGTGTTGGACAGTATTCAAGTAATTTATAATTTGAATTTCTTAGTTCATAGATGACATAACATCATGTGGCAAAATTACCAATTTAAGCCCGGCGCCAATTTAAGTGGCTCATGCCTGTAATCTGAGCTATTCAGGAGGCTGAAATCTGAAGGTCACAGTTCAAAGCCAGCCTGGGCAGGAAAGTCCATGAGACTCTTATCTCCAATAAACCACACACAAACCCAGAAGTGGCACTGTGGTTCAAGTGGTAGAACACTAACCTGAAGAGCTGAGGGACAGTGCCCAGGCCCAGAGTTCAAGCCCCACGACTGACCAAAAAAACCAAAAAATTATGAATTTAAGGACATTTTTTGCTTTCAGAACTTGCCTTTTCTATAGCCATTTGTTTTTCCTTTCAGAAGATAATTCTTTTTTTTCTTCTTGGGTCTGGTCAGCTCTTCAGCTCAAGGCTGGCTAGGGCTCTACCACCTGAGCCACAGCACCACTTCCGGCTTTTTTCTGCTTATGTGGTGCTGAGGAATCGAACCCAGGGCCTCATGCATTCGAGGCAAGCATTCTACTACTGAGCCAACTTCCCAGCCCCAGAAGATAATTCTTTTAGAAGCATCTTGCATTTTCCTTTTTAAAATTGGCATATATTGGTGGTCTAAGGAAGTTTCATTGTGATATTTCCCCATACACATACAATGCCCCTTAGTTACAGTCATGTCTTCTGTCACTCTCCTTTATCCTTCCTGGTCACTTTCTTAAAATAACATTGTTTGTTATCTATGCATGAAGATGGCATAAGAAAAACTCAACAAAAGCTGCTGAATAATGAATAGGTAAGGGGACATGGGAAGAGAGGGCAATAGAGGTGGTTAATGTGACTAAAGTATAATATACACATCTGTGAAATACCATAGTGAAACCCCTTGATACAATTAATATGCACTAGAAAATGAATGGCAGGAATGCATACCAAGCTTTGTTTGGAGGTAAGTATCAATGGGAAAAGGAGGAAAGAATGAGAAGATGAAGAAGGGTAAATATGGTCATAGTACTTTGTATGAATATATGAAAAAAGTCATCTTATTTTTGACAAATCTCCCAAAAGCCTAACATTGGCAAAGAGACTTCATCTTCAACAAATGGTGCTAGGAAAATTGGTTACCTATATTCAGAAGGATGAAATTCCTTTACATTCACTATTTCCCACCCTGCAGTAAACTGCAAATTGGTCAAAGATCTTGATATAAAATCTGAAACTTAGAGCCAGGTTGCTGGTGGCTCATGCCTGTAATTCTAGCTACTGTAGAGACAAGAATCAGGAGTATTATGGTTCAAGGCTTGTCTGGGGAAAAACTGCAAGATTCCATCTCAACTAACAGGTATATGCAGGGGTGCATACCAGTCATTCCACCAGTGTAGGAGGCTGAGATAAGGAGGCTCCTTGTTTCAGGCCAGCCTGGGTAAAAACAAAAACAAAAACAAAAACAAAAAACAAAAAACAAAAAACAAAATCGCTTCTGAGATCCTATCTCAAGAGACAAATTGGGTGTGGGAGTTCATGCTGATCATCCCAGCTATGGCAGTAAGTAGAAATGGGAGGACTGTGGTTCAAGATGGTCAGGGCAAAAAATTGAGACATTTTCTCAAAACAAAAACAAAACGAAACCCTAGTTTAAAGCAGGTACTGATGACTCAAGCCTGTAATGCTAGTTATATGGGAAGCTGAAAATGGGAGGAATGTAGTTTGAGGCCAGTCTGGGCAGAAAATGTTTTAAGACTTCTTCTTAACCATAAGTAGGGACAGTGTCATATTGCCTGGCTGATTATCTGTCATCCAAGGGTATCTAGGAGGCTGAGAATGGGAAGACCTCATTCCAGTCCGGCTCTGTCTCAAAGAAAGGAAGCTGGATGCAGAGGTGCTGGCCTGTGATTTGAGCAACAATGAGAAGGTTCTCTTGGGTAGGAACTAAGATATTATGCTAAACATAGATATTGTGAAAAACATAGATAGAGGCACGGCTCAGCAATATAATGCTAGCCTAGCAAGCATGAGGCCCAGATTTCAAACCCTAGTTCTGTAAAACAAAAGAAAACAAAACAAAAATAGCAAAAAGGCTCAAAGTGCCTGCTAAGCAAGGGAGGAACCATGAGTTCAAAACTCCAGAACTGTCTCCCTAAATTGAAACTTTGGAACACTGGAGGATTTAGGCATAGCTTATTATATTCCAAACAAGACCCCAATTTCACAGAGCATTAGAGCAAGAACTGATGAAGGGGATTGGATGAAAAAGTTTCTGTACATCAAAGTTAACAAGAAATCAAGAGACAATCCACAGAATGAGAGAAATCCTTCATTAGGTATTCAACAAATAATTAATATCTAGAATATACAAAAAGCTAAAAAAACTAACAGCAAAAGAACATATAACTAAATAATAAAAAATTTAATAATATTCAATTAATATGCAAATGAACAGATAAAGCCACAAACTATTTTTCTTCTACCCTAATTTTTGAGCATTTGATATCCAGTTATATGTCATTCTACATTACTTTTTGTTTAATATATTGAGTTATTTAATAGCTCTGGTTTTTTTCTTTTGTGCCAGTACTGAGGGCTTGAACTCAGTGCCTCGAGCTCTTCCTTGGTTTCTTTGCTCCTGGCTGGTGATTTATCCCTTATAACACATTTCTAGTTCTAGGTTTTTGCTGGCTAATTAGAAATAAGAATCTACTGGTGGGGCTGGGAAGGTAGCTCAGTGGTAGAGCGCTTGCCTTGCATGCCTGAGGACCTGGGTTCGATTCCTCAGCACCACATAAGCAAAAAGAAAAAAGCCAGAAGTGGCGCTGTGGCTCAAGTAGTAAAGCGCTAGCCTTGAGCTGAAGAGCTGAGGGACAGCGCCCAGGCCCAGAGTTCAGGCCCCATGATTGGACCCCCCCCCCAAAAAAAAGAATCTACTGGTGGTGTTGGCTCAGGCTAGCTTTGAAGCTGTATCCTCAGATCTCATCCTCCTGAGTAGCTAGGATTATAGGCATTATCCACCCTCGCCTGACTATGTTACCTCTGTAATACATTGCAGCTGCTAAGACTCGCTTCTTTCAAAAAAAAAATTAATCTATTTTGAGTCATAATTGCACACATTTATGGGCTACATTGTGATGTTTCAATGCACAATGTGTAATGATCAGATCACGGTAAATGGTATACCCAGCACTTCAAATACTTATCATTTGTGTTGAGACTATTTGAAACCTACTCTACCATAGGTTATGAAATATATGAAATATAAATGACAACATTTGCACATCATTGTGCTATAAAATGCCTCAAGTTATTCCTCCTATAGACTGTTACCTTGTACGTGATAACCACTCTCTTTACCTCCCACTTTCATTCTCAGCTTTTAGTAATTCCTAATAAGTCATCTTCTTGTTTGAGATGACATCGAACAGTACTTTTGATAATAACCTCTACTAATACAAAGCAGTTACAGATTTCAGGAGTAGCAATTATGACACAACAATGCAGAATCAGATCAAATCATAATTTGCATGAAATAGTATTCTATAAAAGTTTCACAGATAATAAACAACAACATACATTGGACCATGCCTGATGTGCCCAGTTTATTTCCATTTGTTTGGGAAGAAGCTTCTCGCTGAGGTACAGCAATTCTACAAAGGATAAAAATAAGATAACCAATCATTATTTTTTTAAAAAGACCCAACTGGAAAACAATCCTAATTGACCTTAGTATGAATTTATTTTAAGTCAACAAATATATGAAAAGATATAGACTGCTTAATGTTTAAAATACACTTAACAATCATGAAGAATGTCCATACATAATATAATTCAAACCCTGCAGTTGATTTACATATTTTCTTAAGGAGTGTATCAAATAAAATGTAAATATCAAATAAAGATGCATGTACTTTCATTCCCTATGATGAGAATTTGAAAACCAATGCAATGGCCTAATTTACATATTTAAATTGTTCAGCAATTCTGGAGAACAACTCCTGTTTCCCCAACTCCATTTCATAGTGCTTTTGTTCATTCCATAACACTTTAGATTTTGCCTCGCTAATTCCTATTCATCCTTCCAAAATTAGCTCACTAGTTATTTGCTATCAAGAAGCCCCCTGTCCTCTGCAGTAAAGGCCAACTGTTCCTTGTGTATGTTAGCATAGCACCATGAATAAACTTCTATCAGAGTCTGCTTCATGCACCTTTAAGTCCGTATCATCTGAAATATTGTTGTTTCTACAAAAATATTTGTTCTGGGATATACATATCGTAGCTGTTCAGGAACTGCTCAATGAACTGAAATGGAAGTGAAGATGTATATTTTATTTTGAAATGAAAAAGAATTGTGCTTTCATAAGGAAATCTTCTGATCTGATGAGCTTTGAACAATAGTTCAGTAATGTATTTTTCCCTTACTGTTCCATTTCCAAATTTAAAGTTCTAACATGAGCCAGAAATGTCATATTACAAATGCCATGTCATCTTGATCATATTTTATCGAGAATTTTCTCTTATAATGGATTCTTTTTTAATGGGATTTTTAATTCTGATGGTTATTAATGAATGAAAGCATCAGTATCCATAAAGGATGAAAGCACATTTTATTGATAAAATTCTGGCAAATTAAGCCATATTTTATAGCTAATGCTTTATAGTTACATTTTTCAGATGATGCAAACACAATTTTCCATAAACAGAATGTAAAGTAGGGGAAATTTAAATAACAAAAGTAAATATTTCTGTGAAGCCATCCAGTTTGCTGTGCTCTATGATAGCAGATCTAACAAGCTAGTACATAGTTTCTTACTGGGAAGTGAGATTCTATGGTAAGAAATATCTAGAAATGTGGATGTGGCTGTGAAATTCGATATTAAGTCAAAGCTGAAAGAATTCTGAAGGGAAGAATAGAAAAGGTCTAGATTTCCTTGAAGCTACTGCTGGTAGTAATATAAACTTTAAAGGAGAACATGGTTAGGGCTTCAAAAGAAAGAGAATTGCAATGAAAGCTACTAAGCTTCTATCGTCTTAGACAATACCTGTCATGTACAGAATGCTAGAAATACAGGGCTGAGAAAGGAGCTTCAAGGGTTCAGAGTTCAGGGCTCAGTGTTCAATGAGGTGTGTTACTGGAAAGGTGATCCTTATACGGTGACAGAGCACTCAGTCACATTGTGCTATGGATGACGAGTTGGACTTGGAAGTGATACACCTGAATATTTAGCTGAAGAAATTTCTAAGCCAAGTTTTGAAGGCATGGCTTGTTTCTTCTTGCTGTTTATACTACAATGTAAAAAGAGAGATCAGTTGAAGTGAGACTTGTTAGGCAAAAAGGGATGTGAAAATTTAGAAAAGTGTTCGTCTATCATTATTACAAAAAATGAGAAAGCTTGCTCTGAAGAGATCCCCAAAGGGGTGGCTAGAAAATCATTAGGTAAGATTTGGCTTTTCATCACTGATCCATCAAATCATCAAAGGACAGTGGCTGCCAGTCTGGATCACAGGGGGTTTATATAAGACAGGATGAAATAAAGGAAGGTTGTCAAACTTCTGAGTTTCTATAGGCAGGAAAGGAGCTGCCAGAGCTCTTTGGCTGCAAATATGTCTTATTCTTTAAGAAATGGGAAGAATAACCCTGACAGTGGCAGCAACACTTTTCCAATTGCAGAGGGTTCCAGAGTATAGGACCACATGCAGGGCTGAGTGAGTGGGATATGATGGGCTTGGTGTACATACATACATTGAGCTAGAGAGGATAATTCCAAACATTAAAAACGGAATGAGTTAATTCCTAGGTATTTTATTTTTTGTGGGGCTATTACGAATGGAGTTGCTTTCCCGATTTCTGCTTTCACTGTATTTGATGTCGGTATAATTTGTGGAGGGGAAGGAAAAAAACAAATCGTTTAAATAGGGATACAGGTGGACCCATTGCAACAATGAGATGTACAAGTCGTTATGTCGAAAAACGAACTTTACATCTTTGGCAGCGGGGAGGGGGGGGCAGGGGTAAGGATATGGGAAGGGATGGATGGGAAGGGAAAACAAAGGAGGAGGCAACAATGCTTGATAAGAAATGTACTCATTATCTTGCCCATGTAATTGTAACCCCTCAATAAAATTTTTTAAAAATATTAAAAAATGGAATGATTTGTCTCTGCTAGATTTTGGAGTTGCTTGTGGCTCATGATTCTTTTTCCTCTAAGGATGAATCACCTGGATTTTTGTTCATCTGTGAATCAGATACTATTTAGATAAGCTCCTGGAGCAGAGTTGACACTAGTGTGGGTCAAAACTTTCAAGGCTGTTGTGATGGAGTGAATGTATTTTTGGGGAGCTAGGAGACAAACTGTTAAGGATTAAATTATGCCTCCCCCCTCAATTCATTTGATGAAGTCCTAATCCTGAGTACCTCAGAATGTGACCTTATTTGGAAATAGGTAATTGAAGATGTGATTGGTTAAGGGATGATGAGCTCATATTGGTGTAGGGTGGGTCTGGAATTCAGTTTGACTTATAAAAAGGGGAAATGTAGAGACAGACACATATACAGGGAGAACTTCATGGAAACATGAAGGCAGACAGATATTGATTTGATTGGTACAAATTAAGAAATGCCAAAGTTTATCAGCAAACTAACAGAAGCTGGGAAGGATAGCATGAAACATTCATGTTTTGCATCTATGTACTTAAAGCATGTAACTTACAGTTTGCCACATGGGGCTTGAAGAATTCTTTTCTTCTTGCTAGGACTCAAACTTGTAGATGTAGTTTGAAAATTCTGAGAATGTGCCAGCCTACCCCTTCCATGCTGTTTACCTCTTACTTCCTCATTATGACTTTGTTCTGGAGCTGCTTGAGATGGTGAAAGTTGGCTAATTTTCTAAAACCAACAATTTAGAGAGAACATTTAAAAACAAATTTACAAAAAAAGCATTTCTATTTTATTAGATTCTATAATTATAGTTTATCAAATTTCAAATAATTTTATGAATTTGTCAAACTTTTGCAATCATGATTTTTGGTGATTCTTTTTGGCAATTCTTTCATGCAGGAAGCTCACTATAGTATCTGAACTTAGGGCTTTTGTAGGGTAAGGTTTCTCACATTTTGCTCATGGCTTGGACTACAATGTTCCTACTAAGCTTCCTGTGTTGCTAGGATCACAAGTGTATCCTACCATGCCCAGCTTTTTTTGTGGTTGGTATGGTGGGGGGGGGGTCTCATGAACTTTTTGCTTGGGTTGGTCTTGAACTGTGAGCTGTCCAATCTTCACTTCCTTAGAAGCTGGCATTATAGGCATGAACCATTGTACCCAGCCATGACATTGTTTTTATACAGGTGATCAAGCCATCTATTTGGTATTAAATGTTTTAAAGAGGAAGATAAATATTTCTTCTTATACTAGTATAAATAAAATCACATTAAGCGTATAGTTTACATAGAAATAGTAATAATCCTAGATATGGCTTTTAAAGAGATGAACTCAAGGGAAAAACCAACTTGTCTTCATTTTGCCTAGTTTTCAGAACTGGCCTTTTACTAGACTATTTTTGTTACAAGAGTTAGTGCTGTCTCTTATAGAACCTACTATACCATATTTAGAGGCAAAAATCTCTGCAGAAGCTTTCCTGTTATTCTGGCCTAGATAAAAGTTAAGAAAATGACTGAGTCATATATAACACCGGGAAGTTTAAGATATTCACAATAGGCTCAAAAGTTATGCAGAAAACTAGGACAAGGTTTAAGGGTCTTGGGGAATGTTAGAGATTGTGATTAATGCTTCTATCTGCCTCAAAATAAGTTACAGAGAAAGGAAAGAAACATAAATAATGTTTCTCTTACGTTGACATCAGTGACAGTTAATACATATTGTACAAGTTATCAATAATAATTATGATAACAAACTTCCAGAGATGTATTCTAGTTTTCTGGCACCATACCAGAGGTGTTACCAGTGCTGAGGTGCTTTTATTCGCATAGCTATGGGGGATGTACTTTATAGCAGTAATTATTCCTTGAATGGCAATGCGCTTTTGTTCCCTGTATTGCAAGTCTTCTATCACCTTCTTCACTTCACTTATAGCCGTCAAGAGTGAGTCAACTGAAAGAGAATATTTCCCAAGAATCTGTAAGTTTTTAAAGAATTAAAAATGGAAAAATAAGAATTATATTTGCAATGTCATTTTGCATGGAATCACAAACTGCTATATTAAATCTGAGACTGTGTGTTATATTTGAGATACTCTTGTATAAGTTTTCTACAATGGACAAACTAGTCATCACTTAAACCTGTGATATAGGCTTCTGGTGTGAAGTCTTCATTTGTAGGAGGAATTTTCAGAGTGATAATTTAGATGTCATATTTCAAGCAATAAAGTATTCCTAGTCACTGTACAGAAGAAAATATATTTTAATTATTTTATCCATATACAACATAGTGCTAACATTAGATCATATGAAAGGATACCAATGCATTTCAATGTTTATTTTTCCCCAAACTGGGCAATTATTTCATCCCTTAGAAAGAAGGACATGAGCTGGGTGCCAGTGGCTCATGCCTATAATCCTAGCTACTCAGGAGGCTGAGATCTGAGGATCTCAGTTCAAAGCCAGCCCAGGAAGGAAAAGTTTATGAGACTCTTATCTCCAATAAACCACTCAGAAAACCGGAAATGGGACTGTGGCTCAAGTGGTAGAGTGCTGGCCTTGAGCTGAAGAGCTGAGAGACAGTACCCAGGCCCAGGGTTCAAGCCCCACAATCGACAAAAAAAAAAAGGAAATGCTCTTTCTAATCTTTTTATTCATCATATGCTTAAAAGTAAATTAATGTTAGGCTTCTTATCAATACTTCAGTTCTAAATCCAGCATCTTGTTCACTTTTATATCTCTTTTGGATAGTATTAGGGTTTGAACTCAGGACTTCAGAGTTGCTATATAGGTTTCCTACCACTTGAGCCATAGCTCTAGTCCTTTTTGCTCTAGCTATTTTTGAGATTGGGTCTGGCATTTCCTCTGGCCAACCTAGATTATGATCTTCCTATTTCATGCTCCTGCTGTAGCTGCCATGTTAGACATGCATCACTACAGCTGCTATTGTTGTTGTTGTTGTTTTCTGTTGAGATGAGGTTTGGGGAACTTCTCTGCCAGTGGTTAAGATGAGACCTAAAGAACCTCCTCCCCCCACCAGGGCTTGCCCTCAACAATAATCCCCTCAATGTCAGTCTCTTGAGTAGCTATGATTACATGTCTTAATTATCTTGCCCAAGTTCATTTCCTTTTGTAGTACTGGAACTGGGTCCATTTTGTAATTTAAAGTTAGCACTCAGTTATGTTATACATTAAAATGTATATATATATATACACACACATGTACATAACCTGTAAGAGTAACACATACAATTGTTAATATCTGCATATTAAATTGCTTAGCCTTGGACTAAAATCTTTAGTCTATATAATGTCATGACTTGAGATTTACCAAGGTCAAATCTGATCTTAATGCATTAAAAAATCAATGTATTATCCCAAACTAGCCATTTCCACATTGCCTCTTTTCTCCCCTTCTAACACAATCAAAATATTAACCGTTAGAAGGCACAATATGTTTAGTTTTGTCTACTGTAGGGCAAAATTATTGTATAGTGTGTGTTGTAGTGTGTGTTGTTATGGGCTCATTCCTGTAGAAGAAAAGGATCAAGCCAATGAAGTGAGCATTTTACTATATGTACAGTATACAAATGCATCATGTGGACATTGGCAAGTCCATCAGTACCTTTAGAAGAACAACTATACTTGGAAAATGTTGATGGTACTGGTGGATAGGGGTAGTATCCACCAATAACAGCATTCTTTAGTTTCTCAGAATCAGTCTTTGTTTTAACCCATTGAATGAAGTTTTTAACTTTAGCTTCATAGGCATATGGCTGGCCTCTCTGACCTACATGCACAAAAGAAGAGAAAGAAAAAGCTCACTATAACAAATTGCATGGACTTGTTTTATATAAAAATTTCATATTAAAACAATCTTTCATATCAACAAGAAAAAAAGTCAAGTTCACTTATTCACTATGTAGTATGTAATTTTCCAATGATAGCAAACAAATCCTAAGGTAGTCAGACATATTAGAACTTAACTGGACTAAACTGCACCTATCTACAAGATGCTAAAATCACAGAGGATAGGCACCATGTGAAAAATAACCTGAGTTTTAGAACACTCAAGAGCATAGTATCGTGTAAGAACTGTAATAGATCCATGAGCTCACTACTTAAATTTGAGATTTTCTTTTTTTTGTGCCAGTCTCAGGACTTGAACTCAGGGCTAGTTGCTGTCCCTGAGGTTTTTTTTTTACTCAAGGCTAGTGCTCTATCACTTGAGCCACAGCTCCAACTTCTGGCCTTTTGGTGTTTAGTTGGAGACTAAAGTTTCACAGACCATGCCTGGGCTAGCTTTGAATAAGGATCCTCCCATCTCAATCTCCTGAGTAGCTAGGATTATATGTATGAGCCACTGGAATGTGGCTAAATTTGCATTTTTGATGTTTATGTAAAAGTGGTATATTTGTATTAGATATTTTTAATGTTGATAAAGACAGGTATCAATCAAAATATATGATGCGATTTTCCTAGAATTCTTCTCTGGACAGATTTCTCAGTTGCCAATACCTCATTACATATAATATCCTAATTTTTTTCAACTTGGAAGTTTTGTCTTATTGTTTTTAAAGGAAATAGAGAAAGTTTGGTTTTAGAATCCTAGTAGATAAAAAATCTGCAGATGTTCAAGTACAGTATATAAAATGTCATAATATTTGCAGGTAGCCAATGCATATCCATCTGTATATTTTAAGTGATCTTTAGAATAATTGTAAGACCTAATAAAATACAAATGTTATATAAACATTTTGCTTAAGGAATTAATGATGACAAAAGTACATAGCACAGACACATATTTTTCAATTTTTTTAAACCTTTGGTTGGTTGAGTTTATGGATCATAGTCCACAGATACAGAGAGACTACTTACTAACAGACAAGTAGTGAGATTTTGTTATATAAATACAATCTGAGATCTTGGGGCCAACACTTAACACTTTAAAAAATTTTAGTAGAATTAGAAAATAATTTTAACAGAACCCATCTTGTGGTGTTGAAACTGATAGCTTTCAATCTCCCAAGCAATTTATTATTATCTACACTCTGCATCACCCAGTAAATAAAGTTAACCAAGGACATAAACGCAATTCCCTAATTCCCTTGGTCAACAGTAATGTAGAAGCCATATACTTCATAGGTCAAATATTCTTTGTTAAAAAATGTATTGTTATAGTGAGAACAAATAAAATTAACTTACAGTTGAATACTATAATGTAAAAGCAAGTATGTGTTAAAGGGTTCTAGTAAAATGGCATTATATTACATCTTCAATAAACAAAATACTCACCAGTAAGGAACACTCGGCTCTCATTTGTAGTGGTGAGGTAAAGCAGTCTAGGTACTACATTGTTATTTCTGACAACTCTCAACTGTGTACACATAAAATAAGCCACTGTCAAAAATGAAAACATTTATGAAATTACTTTTGCTTTTTGAAGAGTACATACCATGATAAATACATAACATAATGCTTCTCAAACTTTCACAAACATCAGAATAACATATGACTGTTGTTAATATGCAAATTCAGAGTCAATTGGTCTAGAATAGGGCCTGAGATTCTGTATTCCTAGTAAGTCCTCTGTGCTACCTGTGCTGCTTTTCCTCTCACCACACTTGAAGCAACAGGGATCATGTTGCTCTGCTGCTGTTGTTTTTTTATCAGAAGCCTTTTCTTTGGAAAGCAAAGGAGCTGGATAAAATAAAGTCGTTTTCTTGTTGCATAAATGAAGACTTCTGGCATTTTGCTGGTTATCTGGAGATAAAATTCTCTGGGGTTTGTCTGCTTAGGCTGGCTTGTTTCAAGCCAACTAGGATTACAGGCAAGAGCCACTGGTGCCCAACCTGCCAAATCATTCTAATGGGATACATAACTGAAGAAAGCTGTTTCTCCATGATAATTTCACTAATAGTTTCTGAAAGATTGAGTACAACCTAACATTGAACTCCAAGCTACTATGAATCCTTCTATCATATAGCACTATAGATTATTAGGTTTTATTCATGTAAATATTTTATATTTCTCATGTATATATCTCAATTAGAAGTGAAGGCTCAATGACAGGGCTTTTGTAATCTCTTTCCTTCAACTTGCCACCCTTGATAAGTTACAAAGACTCCCTCAAGATGAGATTATATCTGTAGACTTCAACTACTTTTAAAAACTACCAACTGGCCAGGCACCGCTGGCTCATGCCTGTAACCCTAGCTACTCAGGAGGCTGAGATCTGAGGATTGAGGTTCAAAGCCAGTCCCAGCAGGAAAGTCCATGAGACTCCAATCTCCAATAAACCACTAGAAATCCGGAAGTGGCTCTGTGGCTCAAGCGGTAGAGTGTTCGCCTTGAGCTGAAGAACGCAAGGGACAGCACCCAAGCCCAGAGTTCAAGCCCCAGGACCAATCAAAAAAAAACCAAAAAACAAAAAAAAAAAAAAAAACCAAAAAACTATCAACTGCATTTACTTACCTACCTATTAAGTAATTTCATTATTTAAGTATCATAACAACATTATTTTTTTTTACTTCATCTGTTCAAATAATTATAAATGAGGAAATAAAAAGAACTAAATGTAAATTTATGAAACCTCACCAAAGTAGGTTTTCACTTGAGAACAAAAATTTCTCCAGAGGATAACTATAAATTTATTTGCTTTCTCGCCCCCCCCTCTCTATATATATATGTATAAAGATCTAGTAACATATACATATATATATATATATATATATGTATATGTTACTATGTATATGTTACTAGATCTTTATTCTATAGCAATGAAGACAAGGAAAACTTGTCCAAATTCTAGAAAGCTTTTAATTTATATTGTTTCCTTCTAAAAAAACTACACAAACATGAATATTAAAGAAACTTCTAAAATCTGTTAAGACAGTGCATCTTAATTTGTGTTCTTTCCCAGCTACTGAGTGCTTGCCTACCATGCTACAGGCCCTGAGTTCAAACCCAGTACCACCAAAAAATAAAAGATATATTTCACATTATCATAAGAAATAGAAAATGTTGGCAATGTTCCTGTGAGAAGTCCTTACTCCAAACTTAGGTTAAACAGAGAGTTGAATAATATGGCTACAAGGGAAAAGGATTTGGCCATAAAATCCTCCTGAAGTGCGGTAACTTAAATATCAGCAGAAATCATGACTGCCAATTATTTTTATCCCCAGAAAAGTCACAGCCCACTGACCTTGGAGACACATACCTTGGTTATAGTCAAAACTCTCTTTCCCAAAGTTGGGATAAGGTTCTGTAATATTTAGATATATTAATAAAATGTTCTCGAAGCAGAGCTATGTAATACTATTTTGCATAGAGAATAATGGCAGCAGAACAGTAGTTTTTATAGTCTCTAGGTCTCTAGTTTTCTGCAATCTCTATCTTAATGCTAGTTAAAAAATTAGAAGTGGTAAATATGGGAACATTCCCCAATGTCATACAGAAAAAATAAGTATATCATATATAAAATAGCTTTATGCTCTGATTTTGAACAAGAAAATACTAAAATTGTTGAAAGTATTAAATATACTTTTTTTCTTATCATGATACTAACCTGTTCTATGAAATACATAATAGGGCATCCATAAAGTATTTTCCAACAGAACTGGTAGGAAAATACCTTTATAGATGAATGAATACATGGGAAAAGTCAAACCCAAAGTAAGCAGCCTAATATTAATTTAATATCCAAGTGGAATCACAACATTCCCATTATTTAATTGCATGGTCTGTTAATCCTTTTTCAATTAATGCTACTTTAGTGAAGGGTTTGATATTGAATTTCCAAATGGATATCAAAGGAATCGACAGCCTGTGTTTTAGTTACACTGAATCTTAAGCATTTTTTGTGTGACAGTAATGGGGCTTGAACTCAGAACCTCAAGCTCTTACTCTGCTTTTTGCTCAGGGTTGCCACTCTACCACTTCTGACTTTTTGCTCTCTAATTGGAGATAAGAGTCTCCCAGACTTTCCTGCAAAAGTTGGCTTAAAATCAAAATCCTCAGGTCTCATCCTCCTGAGTAGCTAGGATTCTAGCCTTGAGCCATTAATGCCTGGCTCTTAAAGCATTTTTAATATGTGAAATTCTAACAGTGAGAATGAATAGGGACATCTGTTTTCTGAAAATACTGACTTAAATCCCAAGATAACTCTTGAATAGACAAGAAGCAGGTAGTTAATATCTGTAATGATAATATGATATTAATATAGAAAAGATTTAAATGTGTTTTCAGACTGTTTGCTAACTCATATCATGCCACCTCTGCAAATCAACTTATTCTACTATTTTTAAAGCTAATACTCCTTGTTCTCAAAATAAAGATGAAAGTATTAAGAAATGAGTACTTGGGTAAATATTTTCAAAGATTTCTGGCTGAGATGTAGAAAAGAGTTCCACTATAAATGGTTGTTCTGAAGTTCCATCAGCAATGTGAATCCAGCGATATGACCAAAAATCTTCATGTTTTTCTGGATGGAGAGAATATTAAAATAAATTAATGATGATATGCATATGAACACAACAGTGTTTGCTAAAATACTTTTTCCAGTTCCATTTTAAAAGTTTACCTCTCTTTTTTGACCGCTGGACCCTTCCTACGAAAGATAAAATGCCAATCACATCACAGATATAATTTCTTGGCTTATCTTCCAGTTCTTTTCTAAAAAAAAACCAACCAAAATATAAAATAGATATTGCATCTTTAAGCAATGAAAAAAGAATTCTAGTATCATGAGTACAAAATGTATATCTTTATAACTGCTATAGTTTCATTTGGCACAAATTTTGAGAAAATGATAATGAATTAATTCTTAGTATCCAGCATTTAAAATGAATATTTAATACATTTTATAAGGAAATATTTTTACCTGGTAATAAATCGATGATTTAGTTTTGGCAATCCCCATTCTGGTTTCACTTGATATTCTGGAATGATAATTATATTAGTTGGAGGATCTCGAATATTCAGGTTGATTTCTGGAAAAAAACATATTAATATTAATATACTTTATACTAAAAATATACACGTGCACATGTGCATATATTATACTACCAAAAAACAGACTGAACATACTTTTGATTTCACCATGCAATTCAAGAACTAGACTATTATCAATGTTAACAAAACTTATCCATGTTGCTGCATGAACTATTTCTTTCTCATTTCCATAATGTAATATGATCACAGTATGGTAAAATATTGTAATTTATTTATCCATTACAGTGTTGACAGATATTTGGATTACTACTAGTAGTAATGGTAAAATATACTTGAGATGAAATTACATTAATATTATACAACAAAACTAAAAAAAATAGGAAGTATATCCAAAGTTGAACTCAAATGATTTTTTTCTTAATGAATATACTCATAAACTAGTCTGTTTATTAAGTTGTATGATTGCTGGAAAATTTTATAGATGAAAGAATTAAAAAGTATATAGTTTCTAACAGCTTTAGCAATGTTTACAGTTTGCCTGATATGACATTCTGCAAATGAATACAAGCAAAATAAATTCACTGAATACTTAACCCATTGAAGAAATTATTTTGATATTTGGATTCACGGGAGAAGGCTGCATCCGGAATGGATAGCTCTTTTTAACAGAATATGCTTGAAGCAGAAGAACTAATCCAGTTCTCAAACTTTTATACCACTGAGGACACAGATCATTCCACATAATTGCTGTAACAGTGCCTGAACAGTCGGCAATTTCCAGAAAACTCTAGGGAAAAAAGAGTAAAATCATAAACATATTTGCTACATTTCTTTTGGCCAGTCCTGGGACTTGAACTCAGAGCCTTGGCATGGTCCCTGAGCTTTTGTGCTCAAGGCTAGTGCTCCACCCCTTGAGCCACAGCTCCATTTCCTGCTTTTTGGTGGCTAATTGGAGATAAGTACCTCACAAATTTTCCTGCCCAGACTGACTTCCAACCATAATCCTCAGATCTCAGCCTCATGAGTAGCAAAGATCACAGGCATGAGCCATAGTTACCTGGTACATATTTGCTATGTTTTGTCTTTATAGATGCTATACAACCTATCATATGTGCCAACTTAACCCTGACAGAAAATATCATTCAATTTTAGTGCTTTATTAGTAATTATTTAGTTTCAACTCTGCGAATACTGGTAATCTAAAAGAGAAATTGCTGCAAGATGCACTGAAGACCCAGATGTATGATGGACCTACAGTGTGACTGCAAACTTTGAGGGTTCTGACTCCATTTTCTTTGTATTTGGTTCTTCAATAAGAATACAGTGCTGGGGGGGGAGGGGGGAGGCTGGGAAGGGAGGTGAAGGGTAAACAAAGGAGGAGGCTGCAATGCTTGGTAAGAAATGTATGCATTATCCTGCCCATGTAATTGTAACCCCTCTGTACAGTATGTTCTCAAATAAAATAAAATAAAATAATAAAAAAAAAAGAATACAGTGCTGTATAGGTTAACCACATAATACATGTGTCAAATGTGTAAGTCATATTTTAAACATTTCAAATGAAGATCTTAATACCATTCTTGGTGATGTGAGCCTTTAGAAGGCCTTCATATTTATATGACAAAATTTCAGATAGACATATAACTATATGGACTCAATGCCCTCAGTAGATGTTCTGATTACATTAATTTAGTCCTATCATTATCTGAGACACTGCTATAGATGATATCAGAATACTGAGATGTACTTAAAAATTTATTTTAGTAGAAAGGGGAATGCAAATGTCAATATATATTGTTGCCAAGTATACAGACAAGATAAATTGGATACATTAGAACATTATGCTTTTCTCAGTTTTAAAATAAAAATGGCTCAAGTGATAAATTACCAGCATTGAATGGAAAAGAATGAGGCCCAGAGTTCAACCCCTAGTACCAGTGCAAAGAAAAAGAAAGAAAATTTGAAGAAACAGAAAATTGTGTGTGTAATGTTTCTTGTTTTATAGTATAAAGTGTGCAATATGGCATACATAGCCATATGGAATATATAACATACATACATACATATCATAAGGTGATATATATGCTATGATACCTATATGTATATAGGATATTCATGTAAACTGGTGTATATTAAATTTATATACAAAAAAGAAAAAGAATAAAGCTAGGCATGGTGGTGGCTTTAATCCAGCTAACTAGGGGAGTAGATAGGAAGGATCATGGTTCAAGGCCAATTAGGGAAATAAATTAGCAAATAAGCCACGTATGGTATCACATGCTATATGGAGGTATAGGTAGGAGGATTGTGATTTGAGGCCAACCCCAGGAAGAAAACATAAAATCTTATCTAAAAAATAACTAAAAGAGAAAGGGTTGGAGGCATGGCTCAAGTGGTACAGCATCTGTATCACAAGTGTGGAGTCCTGAATTTAAATCCTAGCAGTGACCCCACAAGACATTATGTTTTTAATGCCTTTCTCTGAGAGATACAATCTTGGATAGTACTGTCCTCTTTACACAGCTTTCTTCATTTGCCCGATTCCCACCAGTGAGCATGAATAGCTTTTATAATACATTCATAATAAAACACCTAAAATAGTTCTTGACAACATGGGATACTATAGTACAATATTAAGTAAAACATATTAAGCAAACAGATCTCAGCAGCATTATATGGCACAGAGTTAAATCAATCTTATGATTAGCAGGTTATTAGTGAATAACAAGATGAATGAAGAAGCCAAACTCGTTGTACTTAGGTAGTACAGACAACTTCAAGAAGCTTGTATCTGGTGTGACAGCTCATGATTATAATTTTGGCTACTACCAGGAAGACAGTGATTAGGATAATCATGATTTGAAGCCAGCCTGAAGAAAAAGTTAGTAAACCCCCATCTTGACCAATAAGTCAGGCATGGTGATATGCACCTGTCATTGCAGCTATGTGGGAGGTGAAGATGACAGGCACAGCTTTCCTGGGCAAAAATCTGAGAGTATATTGGACAAATAACTGAAGTTACAAGGGCTGAGGTTTTTGGCTCAAGTTTTATTGTTTGCCTAGCAAGTATGAGGTCATGAACTCAGCACCAGTACCTTGCTCCCCTCCCCCAAAAAAAGCTATCTGAAGAAAATGCAAAAAGAATAGAGGAATCATAATGTCAAGAATGATTATTTTTTCTTTTTTACTCGTTGTGTATATGCCAGTACTGGAACTTCACCTCAAGGCTATATATTCTTGCTTGGCTTTTTGCTCAGGGATGACACTCTATTATTTGAACTATGCCTCCACTTCTGACACTTTTACTGGCTAGTTGAATATAAGAGCCTTGCAGTTTTGTCTGCCCAGACTTGCTTAGAACCACCATCCTCAGATCTCAGCCTCCTGAGGATCTTATTACAAGCAAGAGCCTCTGAGCCTGTACACTTGTCTTTCTTTTCTAAATGCAAGGCCAGCAGAGTATATTTATTTGCTGATGCCAAAAGTACAGACAAGAAGGAAAGGCTTAAGTCAAAGAAAAAGGTGTGATGGAGGCCAGAAGGAAAAAAGAACTAAAGACTAATAAAGACTCCCCCCTCCCCCAATCCTGGAGCTTAAACTCGGAGCCTCATGCTTCCATAAGTGGGTACCCTTACCACTAAGCCACACCTCCAGCTCTAATTTTTTCTGCTGGTTCTTTTTCATACAGTATCTTGCTTCTTGGTCAGGTGTGCTATAGGGCTAGAGCCACCTGTTGAGCTTCCTAGCTGTGACAATAGTGGCAGTGCGCCACCTTGTGTGCACTTTGAGAGAGACCCTCCCCTCCCCGGCCTGCGCCTTTGGGCTGGCCTGCAACTAAGACCCTAACAAGCTAAGCTTTCCAAATAGCAAGGATTACCGAAGTGAGCCACCATCACCTGACTTTTTTTTTTTTTGTCGGTCGTGATGCCTAAACTCTGGGCGTGGGTGCTGTCCTTCAGCTCTTCAGCTCAAGGCTAGCGCTCTATCACTTGAGCCACAGCACCACCTCCTGCTTTTTCTGCTAATGTGGTGCTGAGGAATCAAACCCAGGGCCTCATGCATGCAAGGCAAGCACTCTACCACTGAGCCACCTTCCCAGCCCCATCACCTGACTTTTTGTTTTCTTCCTTTTTTTCCCCTGAAGTTCTGGGATCAAACCCAGGACCTTGCATATGTTAGTCAAGTTCTCTACCGCTGAGCTACACTCCCAGCTCCCAAGAATTTCATTGTTTTTAATATATTACATAGAGAATTTTTTATAGCATATACATATACAGACATTTAAAAATTACCAAGTAGAACTCATAAAATATGACTGGCATAATATATGTTACAGTCAGGTAGATAAGTTATAATCAATAAATTTCATCTATCAATTTAAGTTAGCATATATTATCATTGTTTGTACCTGGTATGGCTCAGTCACCTTCTTATGAGGTTTCCCATAGTATCGCAGTTTTGATTTATACAAGATCCTTACAAGCAAGGCAGGGAAATATTTTCTTGTACTCCAGGTCATTTCAAGATGAGAAAGAGAAATTAGTTTCAGATCTAGAAAAGTATAAAATAGAAACAAAATTAGAATTAACATGGAATGCTATGTTCAAAGTCTTGTTTGTAAGGTGAAAAGGGCAGCCTGATCACACCCAGTTCACCTCTTGCCAGCTAAACTGGCTTACCTCCTTCTCACTTACACATATACTCTCCTGAGTAATAGCAGAGAAATACAGGTAGACTCACTATGGGCCTGGAGCATAGGCAAGTACCTCTATAAAGGTGTCACCCACAATACTGCACTGTATCTCCTCCTACCTTACCAAAATATGTAATTATTTCCTGGAAAACTGGTTTCTAAGTTCACCTGTCAATATTTTCCTACCAATAAACACTTATATTTAGTTACCTTATCAAATCTTTAAGACACATTCCCATACTTTTCTCTCCTGAGTTTTGCTAAACATGCCAGACAACTGTTCTTAGATATTCAATGGCTGCCTCTCTCCCCACCCCAAACTCTGCTCAATGCTCACTTTCTCAGTTTCTAACCACTTCATTAAAACCAATCTTGGTACTTCACTTCGGCCTCAACCATACTTACTGGAGTTGCTTTTTTCAAAAAAGAAAAGAAAAACAAAACAACAACACAACAACAACAAAAAAACCCGGCTCTTACTATCTTCCCATATACTTTAACATTTACGTTAAAATTTTGAATCTCAAACCTTACTCAAGCACAAAAACTGCTTCCATGATTAAGCTGTACTTCTGATTTAATCCTCCTGCGAGTTAAAGGGATTCTTCTGCAAAGCTCTCCATATCTTACTCTCACACTGCACAATCCCAATTTTGAAAATCTCAATTGGCAGCAGTTCTAATATTTGTTTCTTTTTGCTATGACTTCCTTCCTTTCTATCTCTATTTACATATGTAGTTAGCATAGGGGCATGAAAACCATATTTACAGGTTTTTTGTTGTTTATTCATTCATTTACTTATGTATTTATTTTTGTGCTATAGTACTTGAAATCAGGGCCTCACACTCTCACTTGTCTTTTGCTCTCAGCTGGTGCTCTACTACTTGAGCCACAACCCATTCCCAGCTTTTTGCTAGTTAACTGGATATGAGCCTTTCTGATTTGTCTTCCCATGCTGGCTTTGAACGTCCATCCTCATTCCTTAGCCTCCCCCATCCAAGTAGTTAGAATTACAGGTGTGAGTAACCAGCACCCAGCATACAGTTTATTTTAATAAGCATTTAAATGGTATGCTACAATTATACCTATAGTACCATAAAATATACACACAAGTTTTCAGTATTATTAGGATATCAAGTGTAATTTTCCTTCTAGATTCTCCCAAATCATTACTAGCTTAGAATTCTAGGTCCTAATATTCAATATTATGTAATTAAGTGACTTCCTCTTGAATGCAGTCCGAGAAATCCTGGATCCCTTTTGAATTGTCTGCAATGTACATGGTATACTTTGGGTCAATAAAGGCATATATATCTCTTTTATCAGCTGAAATACCTCAAGAGCTACATGATTCTGGAAAAAGGTTCTAAGAGCCACTGTGTTGGGCATAACAAGGTCAACAGAGTTAGATGTGATCAGATACCTGCCCAGTTTAAATTTCCCCAAGGTTTTTTTTGGCAGTATTAGGATTTGAACTCAGGGCTTCATGCTTGCTAGACAGGCACTCTACCACCTAAGCCATGCCCCCAGACATTTTTATTCTGGTTATATTGTAGATATCATCTCACTTTTTTGTCTGGAAAACAATCCTACTTACACTTCCTACCATATTAGGATGTCAGTTGTAAGCTACCATGCCCAAGTTTGGCTTAGCCTGGAACTGCTAATCTTCCTAATTTCAGCTGCCATTAGAAGGATATACCATCATATGCAGATATTGGTTGAGATGGGGTCTTAGCAACTTTTTGCCTGGGCTGGCAATGAACCACAATTTTCCTAATCTATACTTCCTGAGTAGCTAGGGTTATTGGTGTGAGCCATCAGCACTTAGTCAAGTTTGTGTTTTTAACTCACAAATATGTGTGTGTGTTTATTTCTTAAATCCAGAAAGAAGTCATATGCTATTTGTACATGTTGATTATCCACAAAGAAATTTGATTTCAAGGAAGTGGTGCTGTGGCTCAAGCTGTAGAGCGCTCACCTTGAGCTGAAGAGCACAGGGGCAGCGCCCAAGCCCAGAGTTCAAGCCCCACAACCGACCAAAAAAAGAAAACAAAAAATAACAAAAAAAAGAAACTTGATTTCAACAGGAGATGTAGACCATATGCAATGGAGCAGTTATTCTTAAATATTTTGATCTCCGGGCCTCTTTACATTCTTAAAAACTGCTAATTATCTTGAGGAGCTTCTCTATGGATTATATCATATTTACTATATTATGAATTAAGAAATTAAGCACCAATTAATTTCAAAATAATAATTAACCTAAAATGCATACTAAAAACAACATTCTAAAAAATGACAGTTAAGCAGACACCCTGAAAACATTACAGGAAGGAATAGGAGAAACTCTAGGGCTCGCTGGCACAAGCAGAAATTTTCTTAATAAAGATCCAGAAACACAGTAAATCAAAGAAAGATTGAACAAATGGGATTGAATGAAACTGCAGAGCTTCTGCATGGCAAAGGACATAGCTAGCAAGATCAATAGAAAGTCCACAGATTGGGAGAAGATCTTCACTAGCCATACAACAGACAAGGGCCTCATATCTAAACTGTACTTAGAACTCAAAAAATTTTTCTTTCATGAGATTGTTTCTAACGCATTTATAAGATTATTTCTTTGTTGCTTTGTATGTCCCTCCCCCACAGTATAACCCCTGCTTTCACTGTATTTGATATCGATATAATTTGTGGAGGGGAAGGGGAAAAACAAGTTGTTTAAATAAGGATACAGGTGGACCTGTTGCAACAATGAGAAGTACAAGTCGTTATGTCGAAAACGAACTTTACAACCTTGGTGGGGGGGGCCGGGAAGATTGGGTGAGGGGTGGGGGAGGATGGGAAGGGATGAGAAGGGGAAACAAAGGAGGAGGCTACAATGTTTGATAAGAAATGTACTCATTATCTTGCCCGTGGAATTGTAACCTCTCTGTACAGTATTTTCACAATAAAAAATAAATAAGAATTAAAAAAAATAAACAGCAAAAAAATTCAATCCTCCAAAAACAAATCCTCAAAGAAACAACCACCTCATTAATAAGTGGGCTAAAGATTTAAAGAGATACTTCTCTGAAGAGGAAATAAGAATGGCTAATAGACACATGAAGAAATGCTTAACTTCCCTGGCCATAAAAGAAATGCAAATCAAAACAGCATTGAGATTCCACCTCACCTCAGTTAGAATGGCTGTAATCAAGAAATCTAATAACAACAGATGCTGGAGAGGATGTGGCCAAAATTGAATACTACTGCACTATTGGTGGGAGTAAACGTGTTCAATCACTCTGGAAAGTAGTATGGAGGTACCTCAAAAGACTCTACATAGAGCTCCCCTATGATCCAGCAATCCCACTTTGGGGCATTTACCCAATTGACCAAAAACAAGGACATACTAAAGCTACCAGCAGAACTATGTATATTCACCATAGCTAGGATATGGAATTCTATGCTTCCATCAGAAAGAATGACACTGCCCCATTTCTAAGGAAATGGAAAGACTTGGAAAAATTTATATTAAGTGAATGAAGTAAGCCAGACCCAAAGAAACATAGGTCCCATGGTTTCCCTTATTTGCAATAATTAGTATACGTCTAGGATAAACTTAGCAGATGAGCAGAACAGCTCAATAGCTATGTAAATATGACCATATAAAATGATGCTAAGGGAATGAATTCCAAGACATGGACACAAGAGGTTTTTCTTTGTTGTTGCTGTTTTTTAATGTACTATGTGATTTTTTTGTTTCTTTTGTATGTTCTTCCCACTATGGTATATCCCATGTTGTCACTGTGTTTGATTTTGGTACCCTGGTATTGTATATACGTTTACTGAATTAGGGAACAACAGAACAGTGAGAAAAAGGACGAGAGGGAACTAATGCAACAACAATATACACAAGACAATATGGTGGAAATGATCTGTACAACTTGGAGAGATTTGGGGGGGGGTGGGAAAGTAGGAGAAAAATGAGGAAGGGTTAATAAGTTTGACAAGAAATGTACTTATTAGCTTACTTATGTAACTGTAATCCCTCTGTATATCACCTTGACAATAAAAAATGACTGTTTTCCAAAACAAATATTCAGTGAAGAGAATCATAGTTTTATATTTCTTTGAATCTCTTTAGCTTACTGAGTTAGCTAGATATTCATATCTTCTTCAGAACTTAGTCTATTTCAATATTACACATCCTGCAAACCTGTAGAAAACTCTGCTGTAACTTGTGATAGAAAAGCAAAGTAAATAATGCCTTAGGATTATTATGAATTTGTTTTCATGTCCTGAATTGTTAATTAAAGTCATGGGAAAAGCCAGTAGGCATATTTGAAGAATTTTTTCAGAAGAATAAATCCAAGAAATGCAGAAAGGAATAAAGATAAAAGGTGAAAAAATGAATTAGAAAACATTATATAGGGTAGAAAACTTGCCTTTCATGCTTGAGTTCCTGCATTCAATTCCACCCCTCTAAAAAGGATAAAGAACAACAGTATTGATTCCAAATGTGATGAATTATGAAGACAGGGGAAAACGGTTTACAGTTTATTAAGTATGACTCTGTAACAATAAATTTGAAAAATATAGTGAAATGGATAATCTAGGAAAATATTAATTACAAGCACTGCTGTAAGAAGCAGAAAATCCAAATATGTAAACTATAGTAGAAAACAAAAAAAAAAAACTCACAAATAGTAGCTTCCCTAAATGGCAGCTGTTCACATGATTGTACAACAAAATTCTAGCAACTCTCAAGGAATAGCTCTTTTCCCTGAACTATAAATTGTTCTACAGCTCATTAAAATATACTAATTGTACCAATTCACCTTATAAACTCAGGATAATTTGAAACATATAGACA